TTTCCAGGACTTTTTCTATACCGGTTTCCCCTGCTTTCCAAAAGTAGGGCATTCCTATGACACCTTTTGTGAGCTGAAATGGCGTCAACCAAAGAAGGAATTACCATTAATTCATATGGGGAAAATTTTTGAGGATTCCCAGACCCCCAAAATACCTACCAAATCACATCAAACAACAAACACATAAAACCTAAAATAACACTAACATACAATAGCAGCAATGATGTGATAAATATACAATCTATACAAAGTAATAATAGTATTTGTACAGTGTAGTTTCACTTATCAGCGCACTATACTGGAAAACAGTATAGCTGCACTTACCTCTATAATGGCTTGCTGCAAAACAAATGCCGACCTCTAATTTCACCTTTTTTCTTAAAACTGAAAATTCTCTTAGGATTTCTTTCAGTTAGTGAAAAACGGCACTAATGTGTCTTTTGTAAAATCCAAGTGGTGTAGAGCAAACTTATGACAAGCAGGAGATACCTGTAAACAGAAAGAGATGGAGTGGTTGCTGGAGATATAAGTGGGAACAGAGGTTTCATTATTCTTTATTTGATTTTTTTTAACAAAAGGAAAAATAATAGCATATTTATACACTGATGAGAATGATTCAGTAGAGTACATGAGATGTCTTCACGAGTGAGAGGTTGGCTTAACCAAGGAGCACAGAATCAAGTAGGATTGATGGGTATAGAAGTCCTCAATTTTTTTCAATGAGTTTAAAAAACCAAGTTTATCATCTAAGAGTAAAGGTGGAAGGAAGGTTTAAGGTTAGAGGAGAGAGGAGAAAACGTGGAGTCAAAGGTTTGTTGGAATCAAGCAGGAGAGGAAGTGAGCTAGAGTAATAGGAGAGATGGTGTGTTTTCAAGAGAAGATAGTGTTTCAAAAAGACAATGGTCATATGTGTCAAGTGCTGCTTAAAAGTTAAAATGAGAACTGAAAACGCAGCTGGATTTAGCAACTTGGAGGTAACTATTGAGCCTAACAAGAACTACTCTATGGACTGATATGATCAGAAGAAAGATAAGTGTATTGGGAAGTGAAGAGAAGGTGAAGAAATCAGGATAATTGATGCCTTTCTCTAGAAGTTTGGCTGTGAAGGGAGAAAAAGAAAAGAATGCTTTTGACAAGAAGTCAGGAAAAGAACTCAAACAAATCAATGGAAAAAAAATTTTTTTAAATCCAATTAAAAAATGGGCAGGCAATCTGAACAGACATTTTTCCAAAGACATACCGATGGCCAATAGATACGTGAGAAGATGCTCAACATCACTAATCATGAGAGAAATGCAAATCATAACCACCATGAGATATCATCTCACATCTGTTAGAATGGCTATCATCAAAAGACAAAAGATAAAATGTGTTGCTGAGGATGTGGTGTAAAGGGAACCCTTGTGCACCATTGATGGGACTGTAAATTGGCACTATGGAAAAGAGTATGATGGTTCCTAAAAAAAATAAAAATAGAACTACCATATGATCTAGAAATGCCATTTCTGGGTATTTTATCTGAAGGAAACAAAATCACTGTCTTGAAAAAGATAGCTGCACCTGCATGTTCATAGCTGTATTATTTACAAGCCACAATATGGAAACAACCTAAGTGTCGATTGATGGATGAATGGATAAAGAAGATGTGGCATCTATCTATCTATCTATCTATCTATCTATCTATCTATCTATCTATCTATCTATAACTCAGCCATAAAAAAGAATATCTTGCCAATAGTGACAACATAGACCTCAAGAACATTTTGTTAAGTGAAATAAGTCAGACAGAGAAAGACAAATACCATATGATCTTACTTATATGTGGAATCTAAACAAAAAACAACTCCCCCTACCCCTACCCCCCAAAAAAATAACGAGCTCACAGATACAGAGAACAGACTGGTGGTTGCCAGAGGTGGTGGATAAGGAATGGGAGAAATAGAAGAAGGCTCTGAAGGGCAAACTTCCAGTTATAAAATGAGTAAGTCCTGGGAATGTAATGTACAGCATGATGACTATAGTTAATACTATATTGCATATCTGAAAGCTGCTAAGAGAGTAGATATTAAAAGTCTTCATCGTAGGAAAAAAATTTTTTTGTAACTATATAAGGTGATGGATGGTCATTAGACTTATTGTGATAATTTCAGCATGAATACAAATACCAAATCATTATGTTGTACACCTGACATTAACATGTTATATGAGTATTCAAGTATGCCTTAATTTAAAAAAGAAGTCATAAAAACATGGGGTAAACTCCTTACTCCCTTTTAGTTCTCCAAGGCTTTCCAGAAATAGGCCCCAGAAGTTCTCCTGGCTTCATGTGAAAAAACAGGGAGTTTGGAGAAAGAAAGGAAGGTATAATAGAGATGTCCAAATATACACATGGCAGAGTGAAAAAAACTGAAGACACAAACCAAAGGCCATAGAAAAATTAAAAATAAATAAATAAAAGCTACGCCTGTCTGAGAAGCTACTCAGTGATGCAGAGGGATCTGATGAAAATAAATCCTAGTAAACCACATTAGCAGTGGCCTCCATCAACAGGTATAACCAGAGAGAATCAAAATGAGATAAAAAACAGGATTGGTCAATGAAGTAAGATACTCTCAACCTCCACTAACTTTCCCTCCTCCCACCCCTAAAGAAGAAAATCAAAACTAAAACGGAACTAGATTCACTGTTCTCAAACTGTGTACTCAGATGCCTCACAGGGGTACTATGAAATATTTAAATATTTGATGGAAACACAGTAATATTTGCTATCTGCCAGACACTACATAAACTACCCGCTTAAGATATTGCTCAATTTCAAAATTAGATCCTGCTAAACTCCCTTTGAGAATGTTGTATCTTTGCAAAGCTGGGTTTTGGGCTGTCGCTCTTATAAAGAACAAGTTCCTATTGAACATCAGGTGGAACAGGAGATGAGATGGCACCTAGTGATGCTGTGAAAAAATTATTGAGACAATAAGGGCACCATGAGCTGAGAAAGTTTGGGAAATTCTTGTTTAAGTTTAGGAAAAGTTTGGGGAAATTCTTCCCTAAGAGAAAGGAATGAGAAAGGTGCAACTAAGAGCAGACCAGACCCACCTCCACTTAAACATGAAAGAGATGAAAGCAAATTATATCTTCCTTAGAACAAGCCTGATATAAGGGAAGGGTAAGAACCGAGGCCTTAAAGGAGTTTGAAGTTGACATTTCAAACCTACTTGGACTGATAATAACTAAAAGTGACCTAGAAATTATGAAATCTGTCTGGGAAGAATAGGGCAGATTTAACTGAGTATAATTAAAAACAATTAAGTGGGCAGAAAATAAAATTCTGTCATATTACTATCCCACTGAATTGTGATATCTTAATTATAGTAAAGATTGTAAAACTTATTTTGATGGCAATTCTTGACCATAGGAGGCAGTGGTAAATATTAAATTAACTCCATTCATTGAACAGATATTTGTATGTCTACTATATGCTAATCATTGTACATCAAGTGGAACAATGTACATTATTGTCTCTCCCCTGCTCTGCAACGAATGCCACCTGAGAGCAGAATTTTGATGTATTGTTCAATGTACTATCTTTAACATCCAATCAAGTAGCAAATAGTTATGCACTGCAAAATGACATTTTCATCAATGACAGACCACACATATAAGGGTCTCATATTATAATGAAGCTGAAAAATTCCTATCACCTAGTGACAGCGTAGCTATCATAATGTCATGGCACAATGCATTAATCACGTTTGTGGTGATGCTGGTGTAAACAAACCTACTGCACTACCAGTCATATACAAGTACAGCACATACAATTATGTATAGAACATATTACTTGACAATGATAATAAATGACTATGCTACTGGTTTATGTATTTACTATACTGCACTTTTTGTCATTATTTTAGAGTATACTCCTTGTACTTATAAAAAAACTTTGTTTATAAAACAGTACACTGTTACACCAGCAGCAGCTTCATACATCTCAAATTTACCATGTCTCTTGATTGCATCCCTTTCTCCTGTGCTTGATTTATTTTCTGGTTGTTTTGTACAGGCTGTTAGCCTAGGAGCAATAGGCTATACCGTGCAGGCTACATGTGTAGTAGGCTATACCATCTAGTTTCCTGTAAGTGCATCACTTTATGATGTTTGACCAATGAAATTGCCCAATGATACATTTCTTAGAATGTATCTGTTGTGTAGCAGCGCATGACTGTAAAAAGAGCAATAAGAGGTATCCTACCTAGGCCTCCAGACTGTAGGGGCTGCACCTACAATACTTCTCACTACAATCCTTGAGGCCTTCACTGTCTGGAGTGAGGGAGACACTTCTGACTCTCTTAATGGGATGATCTCTGCCTCACCCCAGTCAGAAATTAGGCAGTACAGTGGCTCACAGTGTGCAGCCCAGTCCCACTAGCAGGGTCAAATCCCAGCTCTGCCATTTACTAGCTGTGTGACTTAAACATCTTTGTACATCAGTGTGTATCAAGTGTAAAATGGGAAAGAGTGGTGAGGATTAAATACGTGAAGAATATAAACTGTTTAATATAGATATATATACACACAATATATATATATACATTACATGTATATATAATTTATTATGCTATCGCTCCCTAGAGGCCACTAATTCTGTGTAGTGAAAGAACACTGGCCTGAGCGCCAATCAGTCTGCTATAAACACAATGATTCCAGAAAAGACGTTTCCGCCTCAACACTTTCTTGCCTAAATTGGCATCTCCTGACTACAGAGCTAACTTGCAGAAATAACTTGCTTTCCTATCCCAAGGCTGTAAAACCCACACGCCATAATCCTACACCAAATGCTCCTCTCCTCTCCACGAAGCAGTCAAGTGAGGTCTAACCATCCGCCAGGATTGGGAGCCAATACAGCGCGAGCCTCCCGGGAGCGCGCTGGCGCCACGCCCACACCCGCTCCCCGCTCGCTCATGCGCAGCACAGTCTCCTTCCGTCCTTGGGTTTCTAACCTCTTTCATTCCCTCGGTTGGTCTTTGTCTCTATTCCTTGTTTGACAACTTTTTTAAGCCTCACGTCTTTCGGGTGAATTTTAGTTTTGAATGCCTTTAGCGGCTACCTGGATTTTAACCACGTTGCTTTCCCATCGCTGTAGAACCTCACTCTTCAGCCCGAGTCCCCGGGTTCTGAACAGGAGTCGCGGGGCTGCGGCGCAAGTCTCGCGAGAAGTCGACTGTCTCTCGCGTTATTTCCCAGTTTCCAGAATCCTTAGCGCGAGGCGGAAAAATACTCATTTATCTCAGCTTCTGTTTAGGAGTGCATATTTCACTGCGGCTTCTTCCGTCGGCTTCCGTGTTGCTGTCTCTCTGAGTGAAATGGCGGCCCCGGAGCAGCCGCTGCCCATGTCGAGAGGATGCCAGAGCTCTGTTGCGCTGTCTCCGCCGCGGGGCGACCGAACCCTCCTCGTGAGGCACCTGCCAGCCGAGCTGACCGCTGAGGAGAAGGAGGACTTGCTCAAGTATTTTGGAGCTCAGTCTGTGCGCGTCCTGTCAGATAAGGGGCGGCTGGTAAGGGCGCGCCCGTCCCTAAGGCCCTGAGCGGGTGACGCGGCGAGTGGGCGCTCGGGCAGAGGAAGAAGACAGGAAAGAGGGGGGAAGACGCGCTTTTTTCGGGGGGGGACTTTCCTCTTTTCTGTCAAAATACCGTGTGTGCCAAGTGAATGAAGTTTTAATTGTCTCGAGTCTAGATGAGCCACAGCGGTGTGTCAAAGGGCAAGTGAGAGAGGCAGGACAGCAACGAATGGAAAAGGGCTTAGTTATGTGCCCTTTTCGGACCCATCCTGAGAAGCACAAAACTCTGATGTTGGGGTTATTTCGTTTAGACCCAGCACTCACATACGTATGTAACAAAGGGCTTGTTAAAAGCCTTGGTTCATTTATAAGTCAGTGTTAAGGCAGTCATTAAAATAGTGAAGAAACTGCAATAGTAGCTTTGAGTAAACTAGTTGTGGAATTTACTAGATTTTTGACGCGGTTCTTCATAAAAATGTTTCTGACAACCTTTTGGGGATCACTGTTTTAAGACTATTAAAAGTTCCTACACTGGAATTTACACAGTTTATTTTTTTATTTTTTTATTCCTGAGGATGTTTTAGATGGATTTCTCTCCATTAAAATAATAATAGTGATGTTAAGTTTCTGCAACATTGCCTTTGATGGGGCAAAATACCAATGTTTTAAAGTATCTCCAGTTATTATAATATGCAGCCAGGGTTGAGAATTACTGATATGAAAAAAGACCAGTTTTGATCCAAGTGTTATGTACAGTAAGTCCTCACTTAAAGTCGTTGATAGGTTCTACGACTAAGCCAAATGACAGAACCAATCCAGTTTTGCCTTAGGCTAAGTGATATAAACAAGATTTAAGTTCCTGTGGTATCTCATCAATGATATAAGGAAAGGACTTTGAATACAGTGATGTTTTTGAGGACCTGTGGTATACCAGCAAGTACAAGTACCTCGGTTTGTGAGCATAATTCGTTCAGGAAACTACAAGTAGTTTTATACATTGCAAGACAAGTAGATA